TTTGATTTTGATTCACTTCAGCACACTTCAGTGTCAGTCCATTACTTATCCCTTCCTGTTCTCGTTGTTGTGCGAATCGCGCGGATCAATCCATCTTTTCATGTAAATATATAGAAACGTTGCTTCATTAATAGTTATTTTTTTGTTTGTTGAGATTATATCGATTTGGAGAGGATTACAATGAACTGCGATTTATCTCTGGAAATTGTCTTTGGTTTTCGAGTTGGTTTGAGTGTTGGAGTGGTGTTTTTTTTTGATAGTTAATGCGGATTTTTGATAGAAGTTGGATTGTTTCGATAAGCTGATGAAGTGTACGATAAAGCCGTGAAGAAAATGAAGCAAGAAAGCGTTCTGTTCGTTGAACGTCAGCGAGTCTTCGTTTAGTTGTAACGGAATTTGAAGTGAATTTTTCATTTCACTGATCAATTCTGATATTGATTTTGCTTTGCTAACATGCTGACGATGTTGCGTTGATGAGCGAGAAGGAGACACATAAGAATGGCATAAGATCGCATTTCAATTTGAAATTTCAGAAAATAATTGTGAGCGATTATCGCTCGAGCAGGTGACATTTCCGGATTAGGTGCTATAACATTGGAAAATTATGTGACTTTCATTAGTGAACGTCTGATTAATCGTTCGCAATTACTGCATAAAGCTGCGGAGGTGACAGATTTGAATGGCAGTGTTATCGTATTATGAAGATTCAGTATTGGTTGTGAGGGTTATTATACTTGTAGTCATTCTGCGAAGTATTAACGTGAATGAATTATTATACATTGATGAATTTTACAATCGCATTCGATGATTTCTTCTTTCATCGCGTTTACGTTCGGTTTTTCCTATGTGAAGAAATCATAATGATTGTTAATTAATATGTTTGATCAGTGACAGACGGTTGAAGTGAACGCAAATAATGATAAAATCGATGCATTTTCACTTGGTGGAATTGTGGAATTTATGAATTTTGAATTTTCAATCACGAATGAAGAACGATTCAATGAATCAGACAGATGTCTGACTATACAATATCACTTTCCTGTGATGATAGTCCCCATCCATTGTGCGTTCGTATTATCATTGAAAGCATTTATTTCATTTATAAATCTGTGTATNTGATAGTCCCCATCCATTGTGCGTTCATATTATCATTGAAAGCATTTATTTCATTTATAAATCTGTGTATTCATTTGTTGTAATAACTGCGTGAATCTCTTGGAACATGTGGGTGTGTTTTGGTGTTCGTTTATCGTTAAAACACTGATTTATTTGAAACGATTCGAGTCGTACGATCGAGTTTCAAAGTTTATTTATGTGCCTTTCGACGAATTCGTTATTGGTTTTTAATGAATTTAACATGAAATCATCTAGGAAAATAGTTGAATGAGCAGCTGTTGTGAAAATTTGAGTAGTTCGGCATGATTATTTTATGGATTAGTGCTTAGCTGGAAACTTTGATTGGTAATTTTCGTGTGAATTTGTTGTCTTGAGCAGATTTTGTTGAGAATTTTTGCGAATTTTCATGCATATTCTTTGAAAACGTCTCAAGTTCAGTTATTGATTCGCTGTGTTCATCATTGTCTTTATGTATGTTTATGTGATTTCTATAGCATGATCTGTTTGGAGTAACGCATTTCGTCGCATTTGCTTTCATTTCAATGCAAGACATTAACTCCAGTTCAGCTCACTTCATTACAGTTTACTTCCAAATCAATAAAACAACCAAAGCAAATCAAGTACAGTCACTCAGTCAATCATCAGTCAACGATTAACAATGATGAATTCTGGTGGTGGTGTAACGACCACTCTCTATCGTCAACCAACCACTCTGTCGCAGTCGAATGGTCCCAGTGCAATTGTTTCACCATCCTCACGACGGCCTCGCAAGAAGTAGGCGTTCGTTCCATTCTCGCTCATGTTCATGTCTTCATAGATTATTGAATGTGTGCAAATTCAGCAAATTTCCTGCAAAAATCATACTCGAAAGTGCATTTCTTTCTTGTATGGGTATGAAGAAAGGTATTGAAGAAATTCATTACGAAGTTGTGGCCTGAGAGAACGAGAATGAAATGAAATTATGCAATAAACGCGGTTGAAGTGAATAGTAAGTGAAAGGAGTGGAGTGCAATGCTTAGTCAACATTATGTCAATATGCACAGTCATCGTTGTCACTTCTTATTCATCGTATAAGTGCATTTATCAGTCATAAATGATGATAAATATTCGATGAAAAGTTTTTTTTTTAAAATATTTTGCATAAAAACAGGTTTCAGTTGAAATTCTTTCAATTTTACATTCGGATTTGAACTTGTTTATTGTTAGTGAATAGATGAAATGAGGATTTGGAATGAAGTAGAACTTAATCAGAGCTGTAGAATGTTCGTAATGAGTGTTTTTAATGTTTGCAAAGAATTGAGTTTTGTTGCAGTTGCGATGAACGCAGCATACTTTTAGATGAAAATAATTTGATTGTACTCATTTCGTATTAGTGGAATGAACTGATGAATTGCACATCGAAACGTTAGTGATGTTGCGGTTGAGGGAATTTGTTTTGCTTCTTTTAGGGACTGATATTTTTGAGAATTCTTTAGGAACTGGTATCTTTTAGGGACTGATAAGAATTAGAAACTGATATTTTTTAGGGACTGATATCTTTAGTCTACTGCTGTAATTTAATGTTGGGCTGTGATATCAACATCTTATTATTACGTGATAGTTGGAGGTGATCACAATGGTATTGTTCCAGAGATGTTCTTGTTTCTGATTAGTTTATTGAGCAGTTCTAAGTCTGAATATGTGCTAAATCTTCCATGTCACCGTTCTCAGTGATGATTTTCAACCTGTTATTTTCACACTGTTGTTATTTTCATGATCAGTTTTTGATTTCGTTTTGCAGAGAAAGGCCTCAGAATCAAGGCGCCACTCTGCTGAATGCATCCGAGAATGAGATTCTGTACTCGTTGCTTGGTCATGATTGTATATCGCTGGCGGCCGGTGTTGTACAATTGTTGCGAGCCGATCCACACAATGCACGCGTTTGGACAAGAGCGCACGTCGGTGTGGTGTCGTTGGTGAAGGACTACCCGAAACGATCGTATTTTCTGCGACTCTACGAAATATTCAAGAATAAATTCGTATGGGAACAAATGCTGTGAGTTTTCCATTTTACTGTTATCGACGATATCATTGTTGGAGAGTATCAGTCGAAATAGATTAAACGAGGGAATTATTTGCCGTGCCTATTAAGAGAGTTTTCGCTATTCAGGTAGTTGAATAACTTCCACTCGTTATCGATGGTTACGTGAAGTCGAAATCAGTTCAGACTTAGATTTAGGGTTTGAAATTTCGACGATTCATTGTGCTGGATGAGGCGCATTTTATAGTTTAAAGTTTGTATCCGCATAAATCATGCATTTTGATGTTGTAGTTTATGTGCTTCCATTTTAATCTGTGCATGCATGAGATGTTCTCTCATGGAT